GATATTATATTTGTTAAATAATATTTACGAGTACAATTTTTTTTTTTTTTTTGGAAATTGTCTCGAGAATGATTAATGAGTATAGTATTTTTTTTTTTTCCCTCATAAATTGAAAATCTGATTTTTTTTTCAAGGTGGCTGATATTGGCTGATAATTTGCATCCGAACTATTTCTCCAACCACAATCAATTCATATTTCAATCTAAGGATCTTTAATTGTAATTAATGATGGATAATTGGCTAGGCTAATTAATTGCTTCGTAAGTAGTATGAATTATGATGTTGATTATGAATTTGGGTCGATGGATTAAGCCCTAATAATCAATCGGCCCATTAAAATATGGAGTGTTTGGGAATATATCTTACTGGACTTCTATTTTGGATGTCTATTCAATTTTTTTCAACATGCAAACAAATTTTAAACGCTTGAATTATTTTTCCTTAACAAAAAGGGAATTCTTTTTTTTTTGGATCAATCATGTAGGGCCATTGGGTACTCAAATTCATCATATAACTATATCAAAAATTGAAATCTAAACATAAATCTAGTAATATATAACTTGAGAATTTGTGTATAAATGCTTCATTATTCCTCAAAGAAAACCCGAAAATAATAGAATCTTCGTTGGGCTAAAAGCGACTCATTTCTGCGTTTGGGGTCCTCGAACTCGATCGTTCTTTATTAATTAAGTCACCCCTCTCTCTCTCTCTCTCTAGCATATTTAAGCTAGAAATTAACATCACCGACAAAATGGTAATTAGTATAACTAATTAATGATACAAAATTTTGATGCTCAAAGACTTTTGTAGCCATGCTCGCCATCCACTCTGCTTTCCTACAGTCATCGACGAAGACGACTCATTACTATTACTATTACTATTACTATTATTGATCTTGCACAACACAAAGTTCCTCAGCCCTCTCGACCCTATCGCTTCCGTTCCTTCCAATGCTGCAATAATTAAAAAAAATTAAAAAATTACGTAATTAATTAATTAAATTTTTGGTCATTAAATAATTAAATTAAGGATTATTTAATATATTAATTAATATAATATATATACCATAAAATCCAGCAGCATTAGCAGGGTAGAGAAAGAAAGAAGTGACAACAGAGCCAAGAATTGGGAGCCTCCCTTCTCTACCATACTTCTTCAGCACCGTTTCAATAACCGAATCGGCTTTTTCGTTTCTGCTTACGACGAATCTGATTGGTCCGGCGCTGCCAATTACGTTAACACTAATCAAGAACCTCTCACCACCACTACTATTCGGCCTCTTCTTCCCTTTCGTAGTCATCGGGTAGTAATTATCGACGAGAATCATATTTAAGTTTTAACTAACGCGTAACCACACTAATAATTAATTAATTCAAGGAACCACGACTCTTTGCATGAACGTAACAAGAACGTGTATATATATATAATACCGAAAGAAGACAATCATGAGAGAGAAAGAGGAAGAGAGAGAGAAAGGCACAAAATCGCAAATGGTTTCCACATTTCAATTGCAGTTACGATTCGAGACGAAAGGAATAATAGTACATAGCAGGAAATTTAGAAAAATAAAAAAATGTATGTATATGGTTTAATTTTGGTGGTGATTATGAAGATGAAGTAAATATATAGATGCAAAGCAGATAAGAAAAAGGCAACACTAATAATTAGGTTAAATGTATATAAAATATGAATAATTGTGATGAAAGGGGGGAAAAGATGTCTGGCCTTTCGAGGAGTTTGAGGTAATACATATTTAGTGAAGCCATAATTAATAGTTAATTATTTAATTCAATCTAGACCGGCTGAAGGTCAGTTGTTAAAGGATCATGTTTCAGTTTAGATGACTATGATAATATCTCATATTTTTCATATAGATATAATTTATTTTAATATTTAATTCATATTCTAACGAATTATAAAAATATAAGAGTGATCAAGTGGCACCATATATATATTAGGTGTACAGTGGACTGATCTATATAGAAATATTTATGTCTATAATTTTGTGTAATTAAACGATATAGGAAAATTCCACTTGTTGATTAATTATTTGACAAACCTAGGACTGAGTTTATTTAATATTTCCAAACCATGACCACAAAATATAAAAAAGTTAAAGTTTATTGCATTTAGCACTCTTGTTTATATTGAATTGTAAAAAAACAGTCATTGTTAATATTAGGAGAGAAAAAAAAATCTATTTATAATGTATTTTTTTAACACACAACCCCTAAAAAAAGAGTTTTTAAGGGCAATTTGCTAAAAAAATATGAATTATAAATGGATTATTGCTATTGAAATGTTAGTCATCAGTGTTGACAACAATTGTCCATGTACCGGATGCCTGGATATGGTGGGCCACACTCATATATCGTTGGTGCATGCTTATGTGTGCCGAATATATAATATAAGGTTGAAACTTGTTATTTTCCTAACGCGGATTGGTTCTATGATAACTGATAGTATCTAAGGTTCTACATAAAATAATATGAGCAACGTTTTAGAAAAAATATAGAGACGTTGAATGCAATAAATCTAAAACAAATTAGGATTACAATCATCGAAAACAATATGATTTAAACTGGTAAGGGGGTGATGACGGTGGCGTTCTAGGTGTAGAATTGGGCGGCCTTCATGCGCTAATTTTATCGAAAACATTTCACAAGTTACTATGTCCTTTCAAATAATTCTTACGTAACCTGAAAAAGGAAAAAAAAAAAAAAAGTAAATGAATTCAAACAGGCAGCTGAAAAGGTACTACAGTTAAATTTTTATAAATTAATACAATCGAAATTAGGGAAATTTTATTAATTTAACGAATTATTAAATTATCGAGTTAATAATAATTTAACACGTTTTCACTGAGTCGTGACCGAGAGAAACTATTATTTAATTTTAGGTTATATAAAATAGAAATGAAGCCGTGATTCGTGATGTAATTAAGCCAACAACTCCATTAATCGACATTATTCATTAATTATAATAATTTTACATGACAACGTATTACTATAAGAAAATCGTATCGTTAATTTGATAATGAAGCACACGAACAATCGCCTTAGTCATTTTCAAATTAAATAGAAAGGTGACCATTCTAGACCCCAAGGGTGGAATTTGCCGCATGGTTTCAAAATAACCTTACTCCCTAGATAATAATATTATTCTTATTTTTATTTTTTATGCTAAATTACAACCACCCCTGAGGTATGGTCAAATTACGAAAATACCGCTCTTGTTTGGATAATAATATTTACCCTTTAATTATGAATCTTCTTACACCTCCATCCTTATGGTGTCAAATTTCACATAATCATCTAGATTCCGTGGAATGTGCCCTAGTTTGTACTCGTTTTGTGCAAAAATACAGCTTCTGATACACTACAATTTGATATATACAAGCCAAAAAACACATTTTTTTATGATCATCTTGCTTCAAAACGTGGAGCTCGAATGAGATATAACAGGTACACACTCGAGAATATTCCATATAATCTAGAAGATTCCACTAAATTTGAGACTGCAATGGTGAACATGTAAGAAGATTTATAGTTGAGAGGTGACTGTAATTACCCAAACAAGAGAGGTTTTGTTTCGTAATTTCACCATACCTCATAAATGGTGTAATTTACCCTTATTTTTATTGTCCACCAGGTTTATCCGCCAAACCAACTCATTCGAAAAAACCCATCATTTCAACTCACCCGTACATATATTGATCGGTTGATGGTTTCTAATATAGTCAAAAGTCGTTTGTAACCCAACCTATCGACTAGATATGGTTAACTTTTATTATAATTAATTTTAACTTTAATTTTTAAATTAAATGATTTTCCAATAAGCATTCTAAAATGATAATTATATAAAAAAATCAAAAAAAGTAAAAACATTAAAATGCTACATACTATTGATGTTTAAAATTCCATCATTTAATAAGATCTAAATCCGAAGAGAACCAATGGTCTAATTTGAATTGGGCTCCTTGAGAGTTAAGTTTGTTAAGGGCTTAGACCCAAAGTATTTGGATGACCCAATATAGCACTAAACACTTATTAATTAAAAATAATAATTATGACAAATAATTCTATACAAAAAGGAGTTTAAGACACTAGTAGAAAAATGGTTTTTGACTATGATCATTCACCGTAGAAAAATGTATCAAATTTACATTAAAAAGACTTTTGCTACGCATTTGTTAGTGTATACGGGTGTGACAGAAGCTTTACTATAGTAAATGGCCGTACCAATTAATACTTTTTTGCTACGGTAAATCATAATATTTACTATGACTTCAAAATTGCTCCGTAGTAAAAAAGAAATTTATTACAGTTTTTTACCGTAGCAAATTTTCTACTAGTGAGATAAAGAAAAATATTCCAATTTTATTGTAGTTAATTTCTTAATATATTTTAATTTTAACAGAAAAGGCTGTTTTTAGAGAATCGAACAAAAAAAGGATAGAAATTAAAAAAAAAAAAAATTAATGAAATTAGTATAATGATTGATCCCGTCGAAAACAGTTGCGCTGGTAACTTGGCTTCCGGTGATCTGAAAAAGAGAAAGCCGGAGTGATGCCGGAGTTAGCACTCCGACGATCAAGTCAGTGTTGGTTTTTATTGCTATGTTTTCTTGGGATTTTGTGTGTGTATTGTCTATGTTAAAAGAAAAGAGAAACTCCCTTTATATACACCTCGACTCAGAGCTCGAGGTCCCGGGAGTTCCGCGCTAATTACGGGTGACAGTTGTCCTTCCCCGAATAGCCCGGGCGGCCGGGGTCATGATAACTCCTCCAGTAGGTTTACTGACCTCGTTCGGTACTAGCCGTTGAGCCGCACCTGGTCATTCCGCCATAAATGTTACTGTCAGAGCATTAAATGTGCCGTCCAGCATTTATAACTCTCCCGAACTGTCAGGACTCCTCGGGAGGGAAATCAGGTCCTGTGTAGATGGGCTTTATGCTACTAGGCCGGGCGGCCCCTTGGATCGTTAATACTGGTGGGCCCAACCCCTTGATGGGCTTTGATAATTGGGCTCCTGATCCTGGGCCGGGAAAGAATAACTCCGAACCGGATCAATGATGAAACTAAAAGAGATTCATGTTGAAATTAAAGGATATGTTTGGCTTCAAAAAAGGTATAATATAATAGATATAATATATAATTCCTTTTTCAAAGAAAAAAAATTAATATATAATTCAATGGGGTAACTAGAGGTTTTGATAGTACGTCTATGGTGATTAGGGGTGAAAGTCGGATGAATCGGATCGAAATTAACCTTTTCGGAAAATTTTCAAAAAAAATCGGAAGTAAAAAATCAATTCCAATTCCAATTCCAAAATTTTTGGAATATAAAAATTGATTCCAATTCCAAAGGTCCGGAAATTTCGGAATTTCTGAAAAAAAATCGAAAATCACGTAAGCTTTAAAATTTCAAATCTTAGCCGATTTTTTTCTAAAATGTTCATAATTTAAAAAAAAATAAGAACATCCACGTCGATAAAAATAAAACTAATAACTACTAAATTTCAGTTCAAAAAAATAAATAAAAATAAACACATCATAATATCCAATAAAACTTCTAATAACAATTTATTATGTCAAAATCCTAAAACAAAACTTATAGGTGTATTTTCCTAAAACAAAACTTATAGGTGTATTTTTCAGAAAATAAGTATTATATAATATATATTATTTATAGGTGTAATTTTTGGAAAAAATCAGAATTTTTTGGAATTAAATCGGATCGGATATCGGAAATTCCAAATTTATTTTATATAATTCTAATTCCAATCCAAAAAAAATCGAAAAAATTCGGAAATCGGAATGAAAAAAGTTGTTCTAAAATCAGAACTTTTCAGATCAGAATCGGCGGAAATTGGAAATTTCGTTCCAACTTGTACCCCTTAAATTAGATTTCTTGAAAATACACTTGATGTAGTTTTTTTATTTTTATTATATATATATATATATATATATATATATATATATATATATATATATATATATATATATATATATATAG